TATTTTTGTATTTACCAATAAGATTAGCGGCATCCTATACTGATTAAAATATCTACTGTATAAAAGACTACATAACATATTTTAATACGGTATCACACAATTTACTAAGAATCATATGCATTTAGTTAGAAGTTATAATACAGACATACGTAGTATGTATACGTTAGAAATTAGCTGATAAATAATACCAGTTTATCTTATTATTGGATAAAAACGATATGCAAGGTATGCTTTAAAAGGACTTTCGTCTGATTGGCTAATTCAAATCAATTGCCCGGGTAACAAATTTATATAGTTTAAAGTACTTTTTCAGATTGTAACATTTCACTGTTGTACTTATGAACTAAAAATAATCTAAAAAACAGAGAACTTCAATAAACCCTTTAAAAATTATGTATTTTGATTGGTTAATTATCATGGGAAATCACGGGTAGATCTACAAAAATTAACCAATCATATGAATGTCTTCCATTTGTATATACTATAATAATAAAATAACATGGTTACAAATAGAGATTCGACATTCAGCTTTGCCTCTTTAGAATTCTCTATCAAATATGTAGACCTTAACTATTATTGCAAAATTATATTCCAAACGCTATTAGACAATTTTTATGATGAGTGTAATAAACAAAAAATAGGGTTTTTTAAATTTATTCGATAATTTAGATTTGGAATTATAGAATCACATTTTGAGCTACGATACATTTGTTTAATAATAATAATAATAATAATAATAATAATAATAATAATAATAATAATAATAATAATAATAATGTTTATTTTGAAAAATCAGGCACATTTTGAGCTACATATACTTAAAAAATCAGGCAGATTATCATTTTTTTAAAAAAAACCAGTGCCTTAACTTTTACAGCTAATATCTTGTTGAATTTCGAAGCTATTGTCATCATTTAATTGATAAAAGAAAGCTCAGATCTTCAGCTTTCCTTTACCTATTAAATGATAATAATAGCTTCAAAATTCAGCGAGATATTAGCTGTGAAAAATAAGGCATTAATTTTTTTTTAAAAATAGTAATCTCCTATATTTCAAGAATTTCAAATTATTTACAATTTGCAAGTTACATCGAATTTTGTTTTTGAATTTTGTTTTTGAATTGATAACTGATTATATATATAATTTCTAAGGTATTCTATATTAAATTCAATATTTTTAATACTACTGTAATTTTCAAGGTATTGATACCATTCGTTGACTAATGATGAATTGATTGTGTTCAATTTTTCTAAAAGTCTTTTTATCTCTATATTTGCCAAAATTCTTCTTTCTTTTAAAGTTCTATTCTTTATGATACAGTTTGAATTTACTCGATCAATTGTTTTTGCGACTTTATCTTTTTTGATTCGTTCATTTTCTTGATTTAGGAGCAAATATTCATGTCCAATTGTTTGTTGGTTACAATTTTGTTTAAGGAGTAATTGTTCAATTTTTTGTTAAAGGTTCAAATTTTCTTTTCTGCTTCGTTTAATTGTTTGATTTTTTTTGTCTATAATTTTCTTGAGTCATACATTTTCTTCTTTCAATTTATCATTCTGCTGAATCTTAATGTTGATTGTTTTCTTCGGTTCATTTTTTGATTTATTTGACTCTTCTTCATCGTCGTTCACTTTAATAACCAACATTGAATCATCGTTATCAGCAGCATTGCTTTCTTCAGCATTAGAGGCATTATAAAAATTAAAAAAAAATAAGAGCAAAAGAAGCAAAAATATGAAAAATATAAATAAAAGCTTTGAGGATAAAAATAGTGAAAAAGATATCCATTTTGTAAATTAGATTCCCAGTAATGTTTTTATCATAATTTAATACTTTCAACTTCTGCACAGCTCTCTTAATAGCAGAAATCTTTTTTGATCCAAAAAATTTTTACAGCTCGAGACCTGATTTTTCACAAATGTGCATTATCGCACAGCATTTTGAGGCTTAGCACGTGTATTAGAACATGCTTTTTTCTTTATGATTCTTTACTGTATTACTAAATTTGATCTTCCTTCTTAAATAAGCGTATTAGAATGATATAGAGGTTTGAAATTTTAATTTAGTTCGTATGCATAAATATAAATAATACCATATCAAAATTTAATTGAGAACTTTTTTTGATACATAAAAATTTTTACAACAGATTTTTGCAAATGTGCATTATCACGCAGCATTTTGAGGCTTAGTATGTGTACCAGAACGCACTCTGTTCTATTATCTTACACAATACTAATTAAATTTAATTCTAATTATACAATAAAGTTCAGAACCGAATTTATTTTTTTACATAATAAATTCGGTCCGATTTCTTTAAGAATACTCAGATCTCACGTGTTGATATCACTATGTGACTTAATATATAATATTTAGAGTGGCGACTTCAATTTGGTTTGAATTGTTTAAACAATAGGAAAATCACCATATTCAATTATAACGGTAACACTTATTTAATAACTTATTTAATATATTGTATAAATTATTTGTCAGTAATAGTATGAAAGCCTAATAAAAGATATATACAGTATATCGAATTTTTCGGTATAAAAAGGCGGAGTGAATTATATACATACTTTGTCACTGCAAAATGTATACGTAAAATTGTCTTGAAATTTGAAAACCGATTCTAAAAAAATGACACAAAAAAGAAGATACCAGATGATCAATATACCCAAACTACCTACTCATGATTCAAAATGCACAAAATTGTTTGTAATGAGCAGCAACGTTTGTGGCGAACTCGGCTTAGGGGACAGCGTTGAAGAAGTAAAATATCTTAAACATGTTAAAAGTTTGGTCGATTTTGATATTGTGAAAATTAGCTGCAGAAGTCTACACGTAGCAGCTCTAACTCAAGGTGGAAAGGTAAAAAAATTAACATTTATTTGACAACAAAAAATTCAAATTTATTAAATTATTTTTTTAGGTTGTTACTTGGGGTTGCAATGATAATGGTAGAATGTATTTATCAGTTATTAAATTAAGTTTATTTTTAATATGTAAACTGATTTTTAATACATTTAAAGGTGCATTGGGCAGAGTTACTATAAAAGAAATAAATCCAAATGCGATTGATGAGAATGTGCCAGCATATGCTCAAGGTCTTGATAAAGTAGTTATAGTCAAAGTCGTTTGTGGTTCAAATATAATGCTAGCTTTATCTGGGAAAGGTGATTTATATGCTACAGGAACATTTAGGGTATGTAGATGTTTTTTCAAAATCACTTAAGTTTAATATTTTCATTATTAATTTGCATTTTTTAGGATAATAAAGGGGAAACTGGGTTTACTTCAGCAATTGATAAACTATCAATGTTCATGAAATACAGCCCAACTTCTCACTTAAAAATCGCTGATATCGCCATCGGAGAGAATCACGTATTAGTTTTAACAACTAATGGTTATTTATACACTTTGGGTGCATGGACTCTTATCAGCTTGGAAGAAGAATATCAGTTCGTAAGCCTAAAGGTTTAATGTTAATTCCTGAAAAAATATCAATCAACCGAATTAGAAAGATTTTTGCCAGAGGAAATCAGAGTTTTGCCATCGATGAAGATGGAATAATATATATATGGGTCAAAATGCGGAAGGCCAGTATGGTAGTAAATCGCCAGATCCTATTATAACTCCAATGAAGTTAGAATTCTTCGAAAACTTATTCAAAGTGAAACACATTTCCACAGGACTTCACCATACGTTGGTCCTTCTAGAAAATGGAGTTGTTTATAGTTTTGGCAGCACTAGATATAGACAATTAGGCATTGGTGCTTCAGAAGGAAACTGAAAGTTTTCTGTCTAAATTAATCTTGATAATTGCAAATATATTGCACTGGAGATCATTATTCTATGGTGGCTGTCAATAATGAAAATAAAGTGTATACTTGGGGCTTTGGCGAAACATCTGCTCTAGGAAATAAGAGTGAGAACAACGAATTATTACCATTTAAACTTAAATGCAAGGAATTTGGAGAAATTATAGCAATTGAGGGAGGCAGCCAATATTCGGTTATATTATCTTTGTAGGTAACTGACACGAAAATTCTAATTTGGAATTCTCTAATGATTACTAAAAAACGCATCTTTTTATTTATAAATATAAATTGAAAATTTGTTTCTTTATAGTTTTAATTTAAAAAGATTAATTTTTTTGTTATAATAAAGGATGTAAAAAATTTTCGCAAATACATTATAAAAGGTTTAATATTGATAAAGGTGATTTGATTCTAAAAGAAATTGACTAAATAAATGGCTTAAAAACTTGTGTTCAATATTGAAAAGCCTGAGAGAGAATTGCTATGGAAAATTTTCACCAGCAATTCTGTCTAACGAAAAAATCTCATGAACTTGTCAAAGACCATCAGCCCTGTTATCTTGAAGCAAAGAATCCTCTGTGATAAACTGGAAAATCAATTGATCATCATTATTAAACCAGTCTTGAGCTGGGCTTTTGCTATAAAAATGTTCCACTTCATGAGTTATTCATAGCAAAATCCCATGTGAATAACATTTCTAAAAAAAGAACGTTACTACTTATAATTACATTATTAAATAAGTAAAAACTTTAAAAGTTACTTATCGATTGCATTTTTAGCCGTAAATCTCTGTACTGGAATAAATGGTAGCTTGATTGACTTTCCAATAGACCACAGATATTCAGTTGCTCTTTGATGTAAGGGAAGATGGTAGAAGATAAGTGCATGTCCCTCAAGCTAAACAAAGTTGTATAGCATAAAGCCAATTACTTAGCCAATTTGATTTCACAAAAAAATAATAAATTAATTCAGTATTTACATTTAGGTAAAAATAAAAGATGTGGTAGTATTGCCTATTTTAACCTTAATATTCAAAGAAGAAGCATATAGAAATGGTTGGCTAATTAAATTCGCACCAAGTAACGTTAAGTGGCGTATTTTATATCTTTATATGTTCCGTCATCATAAAGTCCGTTCAAAGCACTAATTTTCGTCGAATTTTTACTACTTTTTTTATATTCGGCTCTAATTTGCCCAGACCCCATCAATACAACAGACACCATCATAAATATTATAGTCCCTTCCATATTTTACATCTTTTATATCTCGTTGTAAAGCACGAATATCTTCACATATATTTTCAAATTGGTGTGAAAAATCATATTCAATATAATGAGTGTCTTTTTTTAGGAATTCGATAAATTTATCAGTAGTATATATTTTTTCTTCATAGGTAATATAATTTTCACTCTCATCTGCATTTTCATTCACACTCTCATCTGCGTTTTCAACTTCATAATTTGAAACTGATGAATCACAATATTTTACATCTATATCTTGTTGTAAATCACGTATATTTTTGTATTGCTGTGAAAAATCAATGTTAATATAACGAGTTTCATTTTTTAGAAATTCGATAAATTTATCAATAGCATTCAACTTGACAACTAATTTTGATTTTTCAAAAACATCTTGATATTCCAGTCTTTTTACTTGTTCTTTGACACATTCAATTTCTTTATTTAGGAATTCGAGTTGATAATCCAAACTTATTATTTGTTTGTTAGTCTCTTGATTCATCCCAATACAAGTATAATTTAATAGACTAGATGCGTCAGTTTGATATTCTTCCCTTTTTACTTGCTCTTTATTATCGCCGATACGATTTTGAAAATTGTAATATCGATATGTATTATTTTTGGTGCTTGAAGCTTGAGTTGGTAAAATATTAGGTTTGAAAACAGTTTGATTTTGTACTTTAAAACTGTAATTTCTATTATTTTTGGTGCTTAAAGCAGATGAAAAATCATCATGTCGCAATCTTTTATTATTCTCATTTGGAGTTGAAATTGTTTTATAAAATTTAATATAGAATTGATAATAGTATGTTTTTGCTATTTTTTTCAATGAAGGATTAAAATTGAACTTAAATAAACATGTAATTATTAGTTCGAAGCAAGAACAAAATGTAAATTTCAAATTAGTAAAGATTTAGTTTCCAGTTAATGCTAAATCAAAAAACCTTTTGGAGATTTTTAGTATAAAGAAACTGAATGATTATAAACCGCAGGTTTATATTTATTGGCGTTGCTATTGATAGTTTTTTGAAATAATAATGCGAAAAAAACATTTATAACAGAAAGAATAAATAATTTTGGAATAAATACTAAAATAAATACTGTTATTAATATTGTAATGGTTGATAAAAGAATCAATATGAGTGAAACAAACGAGTAAAGAATCGCTTTAGCGATTTTTTGTAAAAGATTCAGAGTTAAATAATATTCTGATAACATTTTGATTAAAATTGATTAGGAGCGGAATGTTTTCATATTCCTTTTAATACAGTTTGTCGTAAATGAGCTTGTTCAAATAAGGAGATATTTTCATTTTTGTTTTAATTTATGCTTTCTTTGCCGTTATTCATATTACCTATTTTACAACATTCAAATGAACTCTGAACTGTGCAATATAAAATTTTTAATATTAAACTTTAATAATGTTGATCGTGCATATATACGTTATTAACATTTTTTTAAAGGAATGTATAAAAATGTAAAATCTGGCAATAAAGGTTATTAAAATGGATCCTCAAAGAAATGCAAGGACAAGGAAGATTATTAAAAAGAGCCTAGATAACCCTAACCCTGGCGTTTATTCTTATTCTAGAATTTTTTTGTAACACTATTTCTGTTTGAAACTGTATAACAAATTTATATTAATTAGCTAAGTAAAAAAATCGCCCATTTATAAAATTGAGCCTTACGAGCCAATTGTACATGAGAACTTACAGTATCGACGATTGAACCTTAGGATATGTTTATAATACGAAATATATTTTCTAAAGGTTAAACAAAATATTTTATTTTTAATAATTCTATATTGCTGAAAATCATGTACCTTTTTTCATTATGTTTTAAACCTTTCGATTTAATCGTGCATGAACCTGTATATGTCTTCAAAACAAATAATTCAAATCAAAAGATTTTATTAATGAAATAATAGCTGGGAGGGCATATCTATTATCATGGGTTCGTGCCTTGTTTACTCTTACATAAAGATGGGAAGTGAATATTGATCAGATAGGTTCTACCACAAAATCCTGACATCTAAAATCTCGAAAACCATAATCCCGACATCATGCAACGTGACAGTTAAAAATTTTAAATCTGACAATAATTGTTAATGTGAAATAATCTACGGTGGGTATTTAACTTTTGTATTTCGGAGATTATTAAAAAACCAATGATCAGCAACATGCATAGTTCATACACATAAAAAGTATTTTACTGTTCCAAATGCAACTCTTTTTTTCATAATGTTTTTACGGATGAAAAATGTCTGATAATAAGAAAAAAAAACAAACCAATAATACAAATATATATTTAAAACAAATTAATAATGAGAGTGCATCGCTTCCTCCTACCATTTCACCAGTAATAAGAAGATCGAGAACTTATAATCCAAACGAATAGAAAAGTTTAAATTACAAGCTGCAAGAAAAAAAAAACAACAAAAAGTTGATACAGACTGGGCTGAAGTTTACAGTAGAATTATTCAATTTGAAACATTATATAACTATTTCAAAGACAAAACTTTTAAATGGGAAGATGATAAGAATAAGGAAATAAATAAACAGATTAAGCTATCTATTCCCAATGGAATGAGCACCAAAATGACACGTTGGAGGAAGGTTTATGATTTGATTGCATTTATAAAAGTGAAAGATATTGACATTGACGCTTTTCTTAATGAAATAACGATCTGAATATTTTATTAAACTATCTTCAAGAGGTAGAAAAAGAAGAATTTGGGTTATTGGTTGATTCAATTGAAGAAAAAATTAAGAAGAAAATGGAAGGTTTGTATCTTTTATTTGCGAAATACATTTTTCCAGTTGATTTGATAAGCTGAATCAGTTATTTTAAATAAGGTGCTAAACAGATTCTTTCATATATTTTAGTTGATACCTCCACACTTTAATTTTATTTTACGGTTGATTCAATTGAAGAAAAATTAAAAAGAAAATGGAAGGTTAGTATCTTTTATTTGCAAAATACATTTTTCCAGTTGATTTGATGAGCTGAATCGGTTATTTTAAATAAGGTGCTAAACAGATTCTTTCATATATTTTAGTTGATATCTCCGCACTTTAATTTTATTTTACTAGTAATTATAATCAAAACAAAATTATTACAATAAAAAAATTTTAATTAAGATTTAAAATTTTAATTATGATAAGATTTATTTAAAATTTTCTAATTAAAATCTATGAAAATTAATTATTTAATCTGAATTTTTAATTAATTTAATTAAGATTTAAAAAATTATGCCAATATTTAAGATTTAGATTTTAAATTATGTATAACATTTTGTTAAATATAAAATATATTACTTTTTAGGTTTACGTATACAAATTTAATTAGCTAGACTCTTAACAAATTCTGCCAATATGTTAGAAATCTTTTATACCTATTTAATTGGAACAAGTGTCCTCGAAGCCCGTAGATTATTTATTGTACCAATTAAATTAATCAATTAGAACAAATTTTTCTGGTTATATATTTTGTGAATTTGAAGAATCTGTAGATTTAAAGTAATCCATAGATTAACTATTATACCTGATCAATATATAAATTTTAGTTCACGTCACTACAAATCAAAAGTTTTTTTTTTTAGCAATTATAACAAAGCTTCCTAATAATTAACTAGAACAAAATTATCCAGGTAATAGTTGTGAAACTTTAGGGCGCTTCGAAAGTTACAAATCTTGCTGATTTAATTACTCTGAACCAATTACTGAACCGATTAATACTCGAGTTATTTGATAAACCCTAAATTTATCTTTAATAAGTAACGGTAATAAATAATCAAGTTTTATTAGGAAACTTTATTTCGAAAAGTCATTTGATAAAACTTAAGTTTATCTTACATTAAGTTCTGATATTATAACTGTGGGTCATAACAAAGCTTCCTAGTTTATAATTGTGAAACTTTAGGGGCACCAATTAACTGATTTTCTGAAGCGCACCTAAAGTTTCACAATTATAAACTAGAAAACTTTGTTCTAATTGATTATCAAAAATGAATTTAATTGGCAAATATGAGTTATAGTAACTTGATTTGAATTATCAACTGATTTTCAAAGCGCCCCATAGGAAGTTTTGTTATAATTACTATAAAAAGATCTGTTCTTGATTTAAGTCGTCTCTAAAGTTCCACAATAGTAAACAGTATTTAGTAAACAGTATAACTTGATTATAATTACTAATTAAAGATAAATTTAAGTAACTTTTCGAAGCTCACCACAGGAAAACTGGTTATTAAAAATAAATTTAATTGGTGCATTTTACTGCAATCAGATACAAGAACATCTCTTAATTTGACTTTTCGAAGTGCCCAATAGTAAAGTTTTATCAAATGACTTTTCGAAGTACCCCTAAAGTTTCATAATAGGAAAACTAATTATAAACTATCTCTTAATTTTATCAACTGACTTTTCAAAGTGGCTCTAAAGTTTCACAATAGTAAACAGTAGAATTCTCTAAAGTTTCACAATTATAAACTAGAAAACTTTATTATAGTAACTTGATTTGAATTATCAACTGATTTTTCGAAGCACCCCTAAAGTTTCACAACATTATAAACTATCTCTTGATTTTATCAATTTTGAAGCGCCCCTAAAGTGGTTCTCAGCGTCTCTAACGTTCTACAATAGTAAACAGTAAACAGTATAACTTGATTAGAATTACTAAATTTAAATGACTTTACGAAGCGCCCTAAAGTTTCACAACAGGAAAACTGATTATTAAAGATAAATTTAATTGGTACATATTAGTGCAATCAGATACAAGAACATCTCTTAATTTGACTTTTCAAAGTGCTTTAAAGTTTTACAATAGTAATAATAAATTCAAGTTTTATCAAATGACTTTTCGAAGCGCCTCTAAAGTTTCACAATAAACAGTAGAACTTGATTAACTTGATTATAACTGATTCTCTGAAGTGCCCCTAAAGTTTCATAATTATAAACTAGAAAACTTTATTCTAATATGAATTTTAATTGGCACACATGTTTTATAGTAACTTGATTTGAATTATTAACTGATTTTTCGAAGCGCATCTAAAGTTTCACAATTATAAACTAGATTTTGTTATAATTACTAAGAAAAGAACTGTTCTTGATTTAAGTGGTTCTAAGCTGCCTCTAAAGTTCCGCAATAGTAAAACAATTACTAATTAAAGATAAATTTAAATGTCTTTTCGAACGTCCTAAAGTTTTACAACAGAAAAGCTGGTTATTAAAGATAAATTTAATTGGTGCATGTTAGTATAATCAGATACAAGAACATCTCTTAATTTGACTTTTCGAAGCGCCCTAAAGTTTCACAAGAGTAAAGATAAATTTAAGTTTTATTAAATGACTTTTCAAAGCACCCCTAAAGTTTTACAACATTTAATTTTTATTAGCTGACTTTTCGAAGCACCCTAAAGTTTCACAATAATAAACAGTAGAACTTGATTATAACTAGTTCTCTCTCTTTTTTTTAGTAATTATAACAAATCAAGTTTCACAAGAGTAAAGATAAATTTAAGTTTTATCAAATGACTTTCCAAAGCCCCCTAAAGTTTCACAACATTTGATTTTATTAGCTGACTTTTCGAAGCACCCTAAAGTTTCACAATAGTAAAGTAAACAGTAGAACTTGATTAACTTGATTATAACTGATTCTCCGAAGTGCCCCTAAAGAGGTTTTATAATAATTACTAAAAAAAAGAGAGAGAACTAGTTATAATCAAGTTCTACTGTTTACTATTGTGAAACTTTAGGGCGCTTCGAAAAGTATTTAAATTTAGTAATTGTAATCTATAAGTTATATGTGCCAATTAAATTCATCTTTGATAATCAATTAGAATAAAGTTTTCTAGTTTATAATTGTGAAACTTTAGGGGAGTTATAAGAGATGTTCTTACATCTGATTGCTAAAATAAACATTTCTTGATTTGAATATCAACTGATTCTTCAAAGCGCCCCTAAAGTTTCACAATTATAAGCTTTGTTATAATTACAAAGAACTTTTTCTTGATTTAAATGGAATTAAAAGATGTTCTTGCACTAATTGAATTTATCCTTGACAATCAATTAGAACAAAGTTTTTAGTTTATAATATAATTGTGAAACTTTAGGAGCGCTTCAGAGAATCAAGTTCTACTGTTTACTATTATCCAAATCAAGAGATTTCTTGTAATAATAATTAGTAACTTGATTTTAATTATCACCTAATTTTTCAGTGCGCCCCTAAAGTTTCACAAAAACTTTGTTATAATTTGATTATCACGGATAAATTTAATTGGTGCAAGAACACTACCTTTTGGTAAAATAGATCTTGATTATAATTACTAATTAAAGATAAATTTAAGTTTTATCAAATGACTTTTCGAAATGCCCCGCCTATCAAGTTTCACAATTATAAACTAGAAAACTTTGTATTTAATTGGCATATATATTTTATTCAATTATCAACTGATTTTTTGGAGCGCCCTAAAGTTTCATAACAGAAAAACTGGTTATTTAATTGGCTAAGACTATGGGTTTTGAAAATGAATTTAATTTGTACAAGAACTTTCATCAGTCATATAGAATCACCAGAACAGTTCCGACAAATCTTTTGTGACCAATGCAGCCTATTCATTAACATTAAATTGGATTAACTTGTCAGAATTCCCAATGCTAATAGTACATGAGGAGTTGAATATGTTTTTTGAATAATTCAAGGGAAGTTAAAATTATATTATTTGTTTTTATTTGTTCATATTTTCACTTATGCACTTTTATAAATAACATTAATGTTTCGTTTTAACTTCTTCCGGCAACCGCCAAATTATGATTCTTTAATAATCTGGCATCACTAGTCAATTGTTTACCCATAGTAAAAATATGAAAGTAAATTAAACAAAAAATATAAGAATGTTATTACGACTTTTGAGTTTTAATTAAATATTTTCAAATTAAACTTTACTTTTACTATTGAAAAATTTTCTTTATTATTTGTATTTATGAAATCACAAAACATATTGATCATTCATCATATTGATCCTCATTATCACTAATTAAAATTGGACTCGAATGCTTCACATTAGTGACTTCACTGGCCTGATTCGCAAGATATAACCTCTCATTAGTGACTGCTTCGTATTCCCTTGTAGGGATACCTAAATCTTTTTCTAACTTCTCGATCTTTCTTTTTAAAAGGTTTATTTGTTCTTGAAAGTCAGATTCTCTTTGGTCTCTTTGATGTATTTCTTGCTCATGTTTTTTTACGAGAAAAGTATATTTTCTTTTCTCATTATCTAATTTGAATTGCAAATCATGCATCTACAAAAATGCGAATAAAAAAATATAAGAAAATTTCTTAAAAAGTATATTAAAGAGTATTAAAATTTTTATTACTGATGTTGCGTTTTGAGAACATTTAGCTTCCACCAAATTATAATTCTGTCTTAATAATTCAGCATCATTAGTTAATTGTTCAACCTAGAATAAAAATAAGCAAATTAAACAAAAAAACATGCTAAACAATAATTTCTTATAAAATTTACTTCAGCTGTTAATTTTTCGATCGATTTATTCTTTTCTTCATTTTCCAATTTTAATCTCGAGACTTCATTTGTCAATCTCTCGATATTCTTGTTATCAATATCCTCGTAATTTTTATCAATTTCATTTGAATTTTCTTCTAGTTGTTTGATTTTTTTTTTAATATTTTCAAGTTCGTTACTAAGTCTTCTGACCTCTTCGCGTAAACTAGTTAATGAATATCATCATATAAGTAATTAACACTTACTTAAAAATACTAATGATTAAAAAAAACCACCTTTTAATTTCTTCATCACTACAATGTTTTACTGTTTCAAATTCTAAATAAATCGTTTGAAATAATTCAAGACTGTCCTCATTCGCATTTTTTGCTTTTTTTTTCAAATTGGTAAACCATTCAATTTTTTTTTTAAAAATAAATCCGGCTTCAGCTGCTTCTCGATTGTTTCTATGGAGAATCCTCAAAAAATCTTCAATTCTTTTAATTATAATGGTTTTATTATATAATCTTTTATTTCTTCGTTCTTGTCTATCGTTTCTTTCATTCATAGTTGGGTCATTATAATTTTGTTTTCTTTAATTTAATGAGGCACGAATGCTTTTGGTACGTCCACCATGCATCCTTTTGACATGTCCAGTTAGATTACTAAAATGTTGTTTACATACTTGGCATTTTTTATTTCCATTTAAATTACCTCTACGAGGAGGCATTCTTTTTTTCAGGTAATTTAGGATTCTTTGGACTATTTCAAACCAAAATTTTCAAAATTGCGTAAAATTTTGTTTTGCTCTAAGAAAAAGACATGATTCTACACAACTACGGGTTACTTTAAATCTGTGAATATTCATCTTATAATAATCTATATGTTCGAGAATATTGAATAGATAATATAAATAATCTATGGTTTATCTTAAACCGATGAATATCCATAGATTTAAAATAACTCATAGATTATTTATATTATACAATATATAAATTTTGGTTCGTGTCACTATCGGATCGCATATTTATAAAACCGGTTTTAAATGAAAACAGGATAACATATTGAAAAACGGTGATGTGAACCAAACATTGAACAGATAATATAATAATTCATAGATTATAATATATAAATAATTCATATATTATTATTATAAATATTCGCAGTAACCCGTAGGTTATTTTAAGCTGGACAATTATTTTGGAAACAAAGTTGACTTTCTACTCTATCTAACTTCGGCAATTCGAATCAGGAATAATTCTTTTCTACAGCTATCTTTCGAACTAAAAATTATATATGAAGGAAGTTTTTCTATATTTTTCATTTCTTTCATTTTATACTACCAAATATTTACTTATATCGTTTATACTACCATATATATATATATATATATTCGTTTCTTAGAGAAAATTTGATTCATAATTTCGGCAATTTGATTGTCAGGTATCCGTGTCGGGATATCAACTTCGGCAGATTAAATCTGTCAGACATCCGTGTTGGGATGTTATCAACTTAGAGAGTAATAGCATATGATGATAAATTATGTAAATGTGATCATGATCACATTGTTGCTAATGTTCTGAGCGGTTACTTTCTCTAACTTCAAGTACTAGACAAAAAAAAGAAACGATGAAATTATTAAAGAATAAGCGTGAATTGTAAATAGGAAAGTGAATTTAATTTGATGTTTTGAATATAATATATTATGTGGTTATTAATGATTTTTTTCATTTTTGAGGCGAAAATCGAACGCAGAATTGCACTGATGTGGATGGATTGCAATATTGGCCATTTCATAATTTGATTTGGACCGTTCCAAGAAATGTGGGATAGATTGCTGAATCGGCCGTCTTACATTTATTAAACTTCTCTTTTAAATGATGAAAATATATTCTGATAAGAGTTTTAGTTCTGAATGTAAAAAATGTGGATTGTTACTTAACAATTAATGAATGTTTTGTTTAATAATTTGTAATTATATATACAGTATATTAAATAAGTTTATATTATTAAATTTTTGATAAATGATACATTTTAACTCGTGATTTGTTTGCAGTTTTGTCATTATGTATGTGATAATTATTATGAATGAGAGAATTTAGAAGTGTCAAAGAAATTTAAAATTGTCTAACTTTTCCGTATTTTTGGCTTAATTGTTCGTGCTAATTGCTGTTCTTCATTTTAATAATGAATATAGACAGATTTGTAGATTTTTCAGCCAGTAATCAAGATAACAAATGGGGATTGAAACTGTTTAATCGTACCATAGTTCCAGCAGAATTATGTTAATTGTGGGCTGAAATTATTTTAATGCTGGCTGAAACGATTAAAAAAATTTTAGATGGTTCCAATCTCTACTGTTAATGAGATTAACTGAGCATTTTTCTACCGTTAAAATCTGCAGATCTTGGAGATGATGAAGGTCTGCATAGGTCTGCATAATCTCAGAATATTATAACAAGAGTAGGTTAAGTATATCCAGAGTCGACTGTAGATTACCGGGTTTGGTTTAAAACAGGTTTTGGTTTTTGAGATTTTGTCATAATATTTTAAATACATGCAATTTGTCAAATCTATTAGTTAACATTAATTTTATCATTATCTAAATACTGTTAAAAAAAGTGAGAGCAAGCTTTACATGTTGTATATAATGCGAAATAAATATCAATGAGACAATTTCAGTACGATGAAAACTCAAAGATGCTTCCAACTACAAAATCGTGAAGCTAAAATTATTATATACATAAAAAAGAATTATTTCTTCCAAATAAATTATTGATATGATATTTTAAATCAGATTGATAGAACGATGAACAGACTACCAAAGCTAAACACTTATTTTAGCTAAACACTCGTTTTATTGAATTCCATAAATAAATTATTGATATGATATTTTAAATCAGATTGATAGAACAATGAACAGACTACCAAAGCTAAACACTCGTTTTATTGAATTCCATAACTGAATCGATCATCCCTCCTCTGTCTTTTTTGAATATTTCAGTATATATTCCTACGAAGTTATTATTCTTAGTGTAATTGATAAATATGTTATAGTTTATGTCAGAAGGGATGTCAGCATAAACTTGACGCTTTACTTTCTTGTAGATTTTACGTTTAACTTTGTTCCTTCTTCCCGTGTACTTGTTAACCCAGATTAACTTATCTTGTTTCATGATTTTTGCAATGAAGGCGTCAATTATAATTCCAGAGTTCTTTATGTCTAAAATTCTGGTCGCTAAATGTATGCCTTCCCAATTGTAATGTTGAGTTACAACTTTTGATGTAACAAAGTCTGTTCCAGCATTTGAAAGACTCGTTACCTTCCAGCTACTTAACAAGCGGGTTACTTGAATGTTTTGATGTTCAACAAGGTGATCAAGTGAATGTCTATATCATGAAGTATCTTCAACATACATATCAAAATGATCACTATAAATATACCGTAACGCTTTAGCTTCTCTTTTTGCTGAATTTTCATCGATCAAATCAGTAACTAAAACATGAACAATATTAAAACCATCAGCAAAATCAAAGCCGTCAACATAAGGAATGTTAACCACACATTCAACTTTCATTACCATAGTCATCTCCCTATCTCCTGATCGTCCATAAGGTAAATGACGTGTAGCAGCTGACATAAAATCGTATTTTAACTGACCATCTGGCATCATTGCTTGTAAAAATGTAGTTGCTATTACATTAATGCTTTCGCTTGTTATCAGTTTAAACTTAAAGCACTGTGCGGACATCCAAGGTTGATTGTTGAATGTCAGAATGCGCGATGGCCCACCTGATGTGCTTCTAAAGCTGGGAAAACATGGTAATGCAAACATTGTTGACTTTTAATTTTTTTGAATTAGCGAGATGGGGCATTGGGTCGTCATATATATCATTCTTTAAATTTTGTCAGATATGCTGATAGGTGAAGCCTATTCGCAATTACCCAACCATATGCAGATGAATGGGCTATAATAATTATTTATACTTATATATATATCATTGCGCCGAAATAACAATTAAAAGATAGATAACCATGTGATCATCACTGGTTGCATAAAAAAGATGCGTAATATTGTGCATAATTTATGATATGTAAACTAAATATTTTACATTAAAGCGTGTAAAGCAAAATTACACGAATATATAAGTGTTTTTTAATTAATACTATATTTGGCTTAAAACAGGTTTTAAGATTAATAATCTTAAAATACAGTATATTGTCAGTTATATGTTTTAAAATCGAGATCTTTTAAATTTTATGAAAATCATGTAAATTCTATGAACTTAAAATTAGAGTAGTTTTTATATTAGTGCCAAATTTGGCTTAAATATATAGTAATTTTTTTTGATATCGATATTGTATAATTCAAAAGAGATAATCTCAGTCAATTTCCATGACCCCTATGGACAGTTTGAATTTTCGATCTTTTTTTAGAACATTACACAAACAAAATAGAATTTCACGTGATTTTTTACACCAAAATCTTAAAGTACAAAAAAAGCCACACGATATAAATCTATATCAATATTAAATATGAAATATGACTATGATTGATATTTTTAATGAACCACGCGATTCTGAAGCCTGAAAAGTTTATCTTATATGAGGTTTCATTAAAACCATCAAGTCATAGACTGAAGTGAAATTTTATGCGATTGAAGATGCAAACAAATAAACATTCGCATAATTTTTAGTATAAAGGTCGCGTTTGTTTGATCTTCTTTAAAATCTCAAGTTTAGTACGATATCTCTCTATCTACAAATATAATAATGTCTCGCATTAGAAGAAACGAAATTCCAAATATTACTTTATCTAGAATTGATTATGACAATTATAGACAAAAATTTCCAAGTTCTTTAAAACAAGGTGTCTCCTTTTCTAATCAATTGAATCTTCATGAACAATTAAGGATCATTAAAGATGAAAATGATTTTACAAATGAATTTTTTACGGCTGCGAAAATTTATACTAATAGTATAAAATCAATTGCTTTTTGTCATTTCTAATAAATTTTTTATATTGTGTAATAAGTAAATATCTTTATTAACATTACTAGATCAATCCAAAAAGATAATAAACTCCGACCATAACACTTGTCAAATTACTATCAAGGTTGATAGTGATTCTTCATTGGCTGACACCTCAGATTCTGACTCGGAACCCTACACAACTGACGATGAACTTATTTTACAACAATCCAGTTCATTAAATGATGATGAACGGTTAATTAATAACAATGATGATGAACAGTTAATTAATAATAAAGTTCTTAAAGTTCAAACAGAATCCAAGAATATCCAAGAGCAAGCAACGAATAATTGTTTACAACCTGCAGCTATCAATTCTTCACAATCAAAATTTTCTAATGATCGACAAAGTCAATTGCAAAATGTTTACGTCTGTCCACGTAATAATGATCAAAAATATAAAAAATTAAAAAAAATTTTATCTGCATTCATCGCATTTTCAATTTTAGCTCTTTTTTGATATCATCAAAAGGTATTTTATACAACATAAATAATACTTATGTATTTATATTTTATGCTAATAACAAATATTTATTTTAGACAAATAATGCTACTATTAGCAACCTAATTGAAGTAACTAACAACTTGATTTTTGAAAAAGTAAGCATCAAAACTTTTACCCACAAAAAAAAAAAATCCTAATATTAATATAAATTTATAGTACAATCTCTGAAAAAATGCAAAACTTTTTGAAACAGAAAATAATGCGTTGAAAATAGAAAACTACGTGGTGAAATCTGAATTAAGCAATTTAAAAGC